TAAAGTTATATAAATTACAATTTAATAATGAGTGGTATGTTTTAAAAGTATTTTCTTAACAAATATTACATATTAGTATATCATATAAAAACATTTTTTTAAATTAATATTATTTTCAACTTCACTCATTTTKCCCGATTATATAATACTATAATCACACTAATATAAGTTGAAATATTGCAGCAGTTCCGATTACAATGCACTAGTCCRTATTAAAATCTGTTTAAATTATATTTATGAACGACTCAACGACAGTACTTATCGTAAAGTCGTTAAGATAAACTTTATCATTTTTATTGCATTATACCATTGATTATAAATACTAGTATTTATAATCAATGATTATACCTTTACTAATATGTTAGATTCCACATAACGTGGGAAATCAACTCATATTACTATACGAGATGAAATTATACATCTTATTATAGATTCACGTATTTTATTTCATATCAAAATGTGTACTGAGTGTACAGTAATATGTAGCTTTATTCGATTTGTAATTTTTATATGTTTTTAAATTTTGTGATTTGTTCGATGATTGTAGTAAACTAATACGTAAAGACCAGGTGCATCTAATTATTTATGATATACTAATATGTAATATTTGCTAAGAAAATGCTTTTAAAACATACCAGTTATTTATTATTATATTGTCATTTATGTTTTTAAATTTTGTGATTTGTACAATGAAGGTACATTTCGCAATTTGTACAGTGATTACACATCGCTAATTGTATAATGAAACTTGTACAATCTAGTTACTTTGTACAGCAACATTGTACAATTCGCGATGTGTACAAAAATCACTGTACAAATTGCGAAATGTAGGTATAATTCCAGACATTGTATGTAACATATGTATATCTATGATAATATAAGGTATTATGAATTATGATAACTACATGAAATGTTTTTAGAAAAATTGATTAACCATAGAATATAACCAAATAGAATATATGACAATATTTAAATATAATATACCTATCCTAGACTGACAAATCATCTCCGTTCAGAATCGTTTTTCGTATAAAATGATACCTATCATTGCATTCAAATCTAACCTACCCTAGTCAGAGGTCCATCCCACCCCCTAATATACAGCAGAGTGACATCCACTTACCAGATTTTTTTTCTTAAGACGATTAGTATTCGACTAATGTTGAAAACACTACAATAATTGTTCGTTGCAATACTTAAATTGAATAAAGTAGGCATTACTTCAGAGATATTCTTTTTTAAATCCGATATAGCTACAGTAAGATATATAACAGTAAWGCGTGGATGATATTGTTGGATAAGCAGTAATTAAAACGTAAATACAAATAGTATTAAAAAACTTATTTTATCTGTAAATAAACCTATTATTTTTCAATAACAATTCAAGTTTATCTGTCCTGTGACTGTAGAAAACCATTCAAAACATAAATCTCCATTACTGGTATACTGTATACTTGCATGATCAAATTGAATTAAAAATATATATTATGTTATAATTTTATTCACTTTTGAAATTTATTCTCTTTTTCTTTATATTTTCATAATTTTCAAAACTATTTTGACACAAATGATTTATGAATATTCATTTGTTATTTTGTTTTAAAACAAAAACAAATGTTCTAAATTTTAGTCTTGTATGTTTTGATATGTTATTTAGATTTGTTTTAATATATTAGATTACAAGAAAAAGTAAAAGTATACCATTTTAGACACCTTTTGTCACTAAATTAGTATATAGTAATGACAAATGAGTTAAGTTGATTTCGTTTATTATTTTCTAATGTAGCGTTGCAATTAAATACACTAAATATAATTAATSCATATGACTATATGGACTATAAAGTTTGGTTTATAATTTTTTCATAGCTTTTATTTATATAATTTCCTGTTTCTTTTTATTTCTTTAAGTCTGGTTTTCACATGGTTATCATAAAAACTCGACAGGACACAATGAGATAAATTAATTTCTAAAATAAAATCTGTATACGTATATGTATTATGTACGTTTAATATTATTACAAAAGGAAAACATTAGATATTTATTGTTCATAAGCAAATTTTTTGAACTCAATAAAATACAATTGGTTTATTTGTTTACTGGTGACTGGTGGAGATAATAATATAGTTATAGTATGATTAAGTATATGTAACATTATTGCAGTCAGTCGTTTGCCTACAAAACATGATCACAAATAAAATATAAAATATCGTTCGTACAGAAACTGATGTCTTAGGCCAAATTTGTTCATTTGTACATAATATTATTATATAATACAGACAAATCGTAATAGGTTACAAAAATCAAAAATCATAAATATAAATAAAAACCATTTAGGAATCGGGAATAAAAAACCCGTTACAAATCACTGGTCAAAGGTTGTGTTGCTCTCTGATATTGGTAATTAGTCGTAGACCTGTACTGACTGTCCGTCGAATTCGTGCGCTCCACGATCACATGCAATTCAGTTTCTCTGTAAGTCTTTCCCTCGGGCATGACCATGACGTGCCTGCGCTTGTCGCTTCCATCGCTTTCACTGCTACTGCCGTTCTTCAGAATCGAACGGCTCTTCAGCGGCGACGACGATGGCACGTTGGTCCACTGGCCYCGTTTGCGCTTCTTGTACCAGGCCCAACCGACGAGCGCGGACGTAAGTGCGGCCACGGCCACCACAGCTACGAACGTCAGGTAGTAACGGCTCATCAGACCACCACCGTGTTCACCGCTCGCCGAACAGTGCGCTTCGTCGTACTGCTGCGCCTTGACCAACTGACCGAAGTTGCCGACGCCGTCGTCGTCCGGTGTCGCGCACCACGCTGTTTGCTCGACCACCCAACTAGGTCGGTCGGTGTTCCGTGGATAGTCCGTGGAGAACGCCACCAGATCGGTACGCCACCGGGCTGGGCACCCACACGCCCGTCCCACGATTAGCCAGTCCATGCGTGGCCTGAACCCATTGGTGTCGAATACCAGCGCGTCGTCCTCGAACTCGGCCACCGTATTGTTCTCAAACACGAACTCCTGATAATCGGCCTCGGCCACTTTGTGCGCGTCCACCGTGACCCCTGCGAATGCGCCGCGCTCCAGCCGACCGAACRCGTTGTCTTCCACGAACGTGGGCCCTCGGCACTTGACCTCGAATGCGCCGCTCCTCACGCATCCTATACGGCTGTTCTGCACCCTGAACACTTTGGGCCCGTGCACACGGAAAGCGTAGCTTTGAACCATCGGTAACGTCACGTTGTCCAGGCGGAGCTCGTCGTGCACCGTGATCTCAGTGAGCATGCGGCTGGGCGCTGCGCCCTCGAACCGGCACCCCTTTAACACGAACTCGTTGACGGCGAATTTTTTGAACGCCTGCTGATCGACCTGTCCGAACACTGTGTCCTTGAACTCGATACGGCCCGTCGTCCCGGTGAGGCTGCTGAACGCGAATGGCCGGATCACGTCGATTCGGACTTGATTGAACATGACCGACCGTAGTCGGCCGCGAAATGCGTAGCTGGGCACCTCAGGCACGGATGTCACGTTAGTTATGGTTACCGTAAGGCCCTGGTGGTGATGATGCTGTTGCTGTGGCTGTTGTCCTGGGCTGCCGCCACCGTTTTCCGACCAACCGAACGCCTCGTCTGCCATTTCCAGGCGGCGCACCGATTCGATTTCCACGGTCCACAGCAACCTTGCCCCATCGAATGCCATGGCCATCACCTTGACCCGATCACATTGCGTCACGATCACATTAGCGGCTACTCGTGGCACGTGTCCTGGTCCTTGAGCTTTCAACACGAGATCCTGAAACATAAAATCATATTTATTAGTTATTTCTTATAATAATCACTGTAGATAATAAAAATATTAAAACCAGGCACGTTTAAAATCTGTTTGTTCTTTATTTACYGTAAAATATGTGTATAGAGTGAGCAGTGGTCTACCCCGTATGTATATATAATAATATGTTGTTAAGAGTTTGAATGGGGTTCAGAGATGTTATTTTGTTCTACAGGAAGATCGGTGATAAATTATAGTTTATCCGGTGTCGTATAGTGGTGGTGCGGCTAGTACGACGACGGTGGTCAAGAAAAACAATGGTACACGCGCGACCGAAAGGATTAAATGGCCGTCCCGGACCCCAAACGATCCTTTTGTCGATTTCGGAGGTTTGCATTAAGCGTACAAAATGTGTGCATGCGTGCGTGTGTGTGTGTGTGTGTGTGTGTATAGAGTTCTTAATGTTTTGGATTAGGTGGTGGCTTTAGTGGTGAAATGTTGTGCAGGAGTGCTATTTGCTGCAAAACTTTCGTATAGCGAAAACACGTAGGCTAAGTGCCTTCTCAGTCGCTGGAACCCTTGGCTTGACCACTGCGGGGTGAAGGGTATAGCCAGAAGATTATGCCTCGAATTTTATTTTCTCGGCGTAAGTGAGTGCATGATGCATGCTGTCGCAAGACACGATCGCATTGGTGACATCGGAATTCTCAGTTTGTGGTATCCCAACCATATGTTAACATTTCTTTCATTTACTAAAAACAGTGAACACTTTGTCGTATATACATATTAAAATAAACACACGGTCTCATCTTTGGAATTGTGGATTATGTATGATGTATTATGGAATTGTGGATTTCTCTCCATACTTGTGTCATTCCATCAATTGCATCCAACGTCACTCGTGCTCCACGATCCACGACTAATAATTAATGTCAGTTTATTTAACGGCGTAGGGTCTTCCCCACTCTGCCACTGTCGCCASAACGTTATTTCGCGAGCTTTGGTATATTTTATTTTTTTCCCTCCCGGTCTGGGAAATACTTCGACAGCGTTCGCTAACGATGACATATGTGTACCCGGCTGAAAATAGATGTTGGGCTTTATATCATTGAGGATTTTAAAAGTGACCCGAATGCGCTCTTATTTTGTTCACGTCCCGGGCTTTTGTCTCGATCGATCTTCCGCTACTCCGGGACCCCGTTTCCCTCTTTGTATTCTTGGTTTTTTCTTCGGGTCTTCTCATTAATTAATCGCCATCGGATAATCGTGTCTCGACTCATTTCTTTAGGAAAAAAAAATTGTTGAACCAAAAACCTGTCATTAAAATAAGCAATGAGAAGCACCGCGTGTATTTTTTTTTCATTTTTTGTATAAATAACATCTCTCCCCTCCATTCATAATATTATTATTAATGTAACAAAATCTAGGTAAAAGAAATCTTTTTTAAAAACAGCTGGTAGAGGGTAAAATTTTTGAGGTGACACTTTTTTTATTTATATAAAAGGTTACCGGCTTACAAAACACGCGAAAAAGTAATTTGTGTAGCGTTACGTTGAAATTATCATCAACTATGCGTTACGATCCGCCCAACTCTAAAAGAACGGTKCGGCGATGGATGGGAAGGGGAGTTAAATATATTTAAATGGAAATTTCAAAAATATCACAAGGAAAGGAAAAACATATCGTATAAAAAACCACACCTGTTCCAAGAGGGTCTAAAAGTTTTTTTGGTGAAGTTTTCCGTCATATCGCTTACACCACTTGTATACTAGTATAGAATTTATGGAAGGAACGTCAGCCAGCCATATWATACCATATACATCATTTCTTTTCGCATATGTGTCTGTTTTTTTTTCGTGTGCGAATTAATATGGATTTACCTGTGATTCATGAGGTACTTTACGGCATGAGCACCGGACTTGTGACTGGGAGTCATCGCATTCGCATTGCGGTGTGTCGCATAGACTTTGAGCACTGGCCACGTGGCCACTGATTATCAGTATTGTCGTGACCAGTGCAGTCCATTGATGCAACTGTGTCATCGTCCACCGTCGCCGTCGTCCGACCGTTCCCGCTGGTCATCGCCACTTGTCCATTTTAGGTCTGTCGCGTCGCCWCCGTAAAAGCGTCTGTCGATCATTCACTGTACTGAAAACAATATACAACTGACATATTATATTATACACACAAATTATATTATTTGCTTTTCGCCCACTTATTCATTTTATGTTTGTATTACTCCAACATTGCAAACAGAGGTGTTAAGTATAAAATAATAATGATAATAGCTAGAGATAACGAAAGGAAATAATCACTCGAACCTAATCGCGTGACACGTAATATTTTATGACTATTATTATGTGTCAATATTATAGTACCTAGAATGAATATAGTTAAAATTAATCTTAATAGCTCAGTTTTTTTTCTCACAACAGCTGTGTATGATATAGGTATAAATAATATTATCCTATAATTGTACTTCGGTTTTAAGACTAGGGAGGAATAAATAAAAAATAACTTTAAACACAGAATTTATATATATTTTTCCGAGAGAGTTTATTGTGCTGATGGTGAGAATTCCGGTGTAATAATAAGAATTAAACATTATCAAGACAGAGAATAAATACGCCCTTAGAACTATCACATTATTACACCTTAGCCGTAATGACAAAGTGTTTGTACGTTTGAAAAACGAGCTTCCTAGCCAGTGATGGACGTTCCCTTTTTCCCTAAAAAGCACTGTAGATGTGCCAAAATAATTTCGTAAAATATTATACGTTTATGAACTTTTAAGTACCACGTTGGTACATGATTTTGTGTTTTACATAGATAGTTGCAGCGTTCATTGTATTTACGTGAATTAGTAGCATAAGTTGCTGATTTCTTGTGTATATTTTTTCTGTGTGTAGGTGTATTATAATAATGCTTATGCTGGATTGTAATTATCCCTGTTTCTCTTTCAGAGTCGATTATTCTAAACAAGCACTTAGTTTTCGAACAATTTTGAATTATTTATTGACTCTGTCGTTGGGTGTSGTTTTAGTATGGAATAAAATAAAATTTACAATGAAATACATATGAAAAAATACATAAAGTTCCTAATTAATAATTCTCTTTTGCATCGTTGTCGTCATATGTTCTCATGAGCATCCTTCCGGTGGAACAAACATACTCGAGTGTCCTTTGACAACGAATCCTTGACCCAAATAAATTGTACTCCCATAGAATAAAGGTAGCAAAAAAAAAAAAAATCATAATTCCGGTTTGCAACGTTTACCCAAACTCCCATAATAAACGTGCCGATATCTAGTACAATGCGATGGTGACGAGGGTTAGGACTGATCGTTAAAACATTCTTCGACACTTTATGGGCCACAGGAGGCGCTATTCCATGGCGATTCCTGGCCGATTAAACGCTCCTAGGGTTTAAGTCGTAAAAAAAAAATGGATTAAGTCACGTTTTCTGCCTATCCCTAATAAAACCCCCCTGAATAATTGCGGTATTAACCATATCAAATATAAATAAAACATTCGTTTGCCGAGATTTATTTATCGAATATATCTGGGCCTTATATATCAATATTATTATATTTTGTGTGTGCGTGATTTTTTTTTTTATCGCTAAGTGTCTACGGTACCTTAATATTATAATGTACCTATTAAAACGCTGGCTTAAGTTATACACTTGACCCGAATATCCGTAAGCACCGGGTTAACGTTAACCATGTATTAATAATTTCCGAGACGCCGCAGAACGTTTTTTTCCTGGTGGAAAATATTAAGGATGGAACACATTTATTGTAACTCATAATTAGCAATCTATCTATCCCTGGATACTTGGTAGACAAGAATACATTATGTTTATCTATCTATTTACTCCTCAKATAAGTTTTTTAGATTTYAAGCACAATGCTATAATGCGAATAATTTATAATGCTTTAAAATATGTATTGGAGGTCTATCTAATATTACATATTATAGGCATTTAGAGTATTTAATTTTTAGTTATCATAATGTTATTATTTATTGTAAACGCCTATTGCATATAAAAWAGTATTTTTCCAAACTTATTCCGTTATTATATATAGCAAAAATGATAGTAATAAAAATCTGAAGGAGTTGATAGATATGCGTATCAAATTTTTTCATTGTAAATATAAACCTTGACGACATCATAAGCCATGAATTCAGCGACGGCCGCTATTCTGCAAAAATACGCGTTTATATAATTCGATAATATTGTATATTATATTGTACGAGTATATCATTATTAAACAAATAACAGCTATTTTTTAAGGTCTAGGGGCCGTGAAATTCGCTCTTGTAAATGGTTTTTTGTTTATTGCATGTATAGTTTAGTTGTAACTCAATGACGCGGATGCATAATGTGTATTGTTGAAGTACTTGACGTGATTATCRAGAAATCTTGGGGAGGGGTAGAATAGGAGTTGCAGGTGTTTACTTAGAATATATAAAAATAATAATTTTATATTTGCTTAAAAATCACGCAATGTTTACCGCCGTTTGCTGCGGAGAGGGAGAGAGAGACAATATAGCTAGTTGATATTCTCTTCTTCTTCGTTAAGAATTTTATAAATTTAACATTTTTAATTTTAAAACTCCCATCCACTTTATATTATCAGAGAATAAAAATATTTTAGGGTTGACTATCGAATCGATTAATATACGTGCCGCGTTGATACAAGTTCACGACCAATGGGTTTGGTTGTTGCGAATTGCAATAATTAATAAATCATCATWTTATTTATGTCCGATAATCGTGTTGACCGTTCAAGCGCAACCTAATGTGTGACGTGTAATCGAATATTCGCATGCATATTTTGAACGTTGTAGTAAAAATATTATTAAGACCATTGACAAATACATCACTCTCATATTCAGTAGAATAATACTATATAGGCACAAATCCAAACGACCAAACCCTAATCGTATGTGCATAATATATATACCTTTATTTCAACTGTTAATTTTGGTTCTACTAAGTTTAGTCATCAACTATTATTAATACTTCTATCATATATTTGACCAAATTTTTATTTTTTATGTAAGTACGGACAATTACTTTATATTATTTAAGTATATTGGGTTATAAATTTTTGATAAATCTTATCGAAAAACAAACATTACTTTACGTATAGAACGTATCCACTGACCTACATTTAGAGTATTTTTGTTTTCACAAACACGTGTTCACCCGTCCGTATTTTGATGTTTGTTTAAAAATATTATAATTGCAGAGCGCAAGTAAGTGGAAAATCTCTCAAAAAGCCGCCGCGCGTATGCTGTTTTAATTTTTCAACCGACTATTTCTTTAAAATGTGCTYTTATTTTTTGCAACTAGGAGGTAAAAAAAAACTCTAAATGTGCATTAATTCAAACTAAGTGTGGAAAAYTGGAAACACCGTTATCGTAGCTTTTCAAATAACTTCCGCCTAGGCAAATCTCGTTTAAACACACAAACTCCTCCACAAAAGACAAAATGTTGCGATGTTTTTCCCGTTCTATATACTGTATATACTATTATTCATAGTAGACTTGGTTGCGTGGATATGCATAGTGTATCTTTCTTAGAACSCTTAGTTTAAACCAAAATTATTAACTTATTACTGCCACCCCTTTGTCGGGTTAATGTTTTACGTATATACCCGCCCCCAAAGGATAATTAATCACCTTGTCGCCTACATCTTTCCAAGTTCGCAAAACCACCACGTCGATAATAACAGTTAAGCAATTAAGACGCGTTTTTTATTGCCCATCATGAAATACATRATAGTTCTATCGAAGTAAACAATATTTTATTTTATATTGCAAATTCGTTTGCTAAACGCAATTTATTATTATAAACAYGGATATTTTTCGCTATAGTTACCTATAGATAGGTACATTTCGAAACATTTAAAATTATTTATACGATTTTCAGTGGAATTAAACCTTACTCGATAAAATATGAATGATTCAACAGCCGTTAAATATTATAATGTTTATACCGAACAAGTCTGTACCTCCTATTACTTTAATACTTTTGTCAGCTTTAACTTAAGCGTGTCGGAAACTTTTCATGAGTTTATCATATTTTAACTCTGTGAATTAGGGGGAAAAAATCACTATTTTGAATTCAAGTTTGTTCGTTATTATCATCTTTGATTAGACTGTCTGTTTTAATTACTTTTTTTTATTACTCATTTAATTTCGTTTATAAAGGAAAGAAAAAAAAATTAATTCAGAGAAACTTGTATAAAATAATTGACGATTTTTCGGTCAAAGTTTTATTATTTTTTTTTATGATTAATCACTATTAACTTGCATATCATGTTTCGCCCTTCCCCAAATATAACAATAACGACTACAACGACGACGACGACGACGACAACAACTACAACTACAACAACAACAACAACAACAACAACAACAACAACAACAGCATCAATAATAATGATACTATATAATCTGTGAGTGTGATGTTTTTGGTGAACTGTTTGATACTGTTATAATTAGCAGCGGGCAATGAATGGAAATATTATTACAAGGAGAGCAAAACTTCTATAATATGTAGGTATACACCGAATAAGTTTTTTCATTTTGCTCCGTCGGCGGCGATGGTAACGGTGGCTGCCTTTTCATCGAACGAAATTGATTTCTATAAAATCCAATATAATATATATATTATATATATATATATTTGTCCAAGCACCGTAGAGATGTCGGTGAAGCTCCATTAATTTTTACCCCATACAATGCGCCTGTACGAATGATTAATGAAAAAACGTCGCGTCTTACTTAAATATGATATCGTATCGTTTAAACAAGTATGTGTTTGCGTGTGTGTATTTAGTGTATATTATAAACGTAATATTTATACTCCATTGTATTTTGTCGAGGAAAAGGCTTTTACGCGTGAGAGGATGAGGGTAAAAATGTATTTCTCTAAGAGCAGTGCGAATATATTATGTTCTACCCGTTAGGAACCAGGTATTGTTTTTATTTGCGTCTCAAGATTTTATTAAAATCTTTGTACATGGTGTACCGYGTTTATTGATTTTTTTTTTTTAATTTCAGTGTATAGTTAAGCTATAGAATATATTATAATATAGATCGTGTAATATTTTCATACGTGCGTAAGTACAGGTTATTGTGGGTTATTRATGAATACGACACAATATCTAAATAATACACCGAAGAGGTCGATATTTCAATAATTTAAGAATTAATTAACWTTATTTGTATTTAATTCCACGAACGAGAGACGCGCKTTGTTTCCGTAGACAGTTCTCAAAAGTTCATACGGTAATAAAATCGTATTTTTATTTTAATCCTTTCACGCAGGTCGAAGTTTGTAATTGGCCTCCAGCATTACATTATACATATTAAACGTACAGATTTTCAGTATTTTCAGTTATTTTCCTATCGTTAAGATATTACAATTACAACATATTATACATACTATTATAATATCAATCACAACTACTAATATCGATCACATTAGTATAGTACGTATTTATCCATAAATGAATGGTTTAAAATATAAGTGTGAAATACCTATGCGATAAGATTTATTGTACTCTAAAAGTATTTCGGTCGTGCGAAATATCCTTGGAAAAAACGTTAAGACGATGAATTATGTACACATATTATGTTTATAACAATTTTAAATTATTTTTCAAAGAAAGTAAATTGTCAATAAATAAAWTGCAAAAAAAAATTACGATCGCGCCGAACTTAACTCGCGTGCACTGTGTTTGTTATACTATTWTWTGCGCACTGTTACTAGTGATGGRCGACCGTACCGTCGGAACACCGTCGTAGACACTGATACCGTCGAACGAAACAGCGACGGTCACAGCGGCGGCGACTGGCGGACAGCGCCTCTCGGTGGGTTTCTCTGCACTCCGATTCATATAAGCAGTCGAATTTTTTTTCGAACGACGCGCGACGCGGCGCGCATTCATTTTTTTATGAATTTTCTCCTTTCTTAGTTTTTCTGACCTTCGTTGCACAAATACAACATATTTTGTTATTAATTTTTTATCGCCCAACGTTAATTGTTTGATCACGTTTTCCACGWTATTTTTCGATAGTATAATATTTTAGTGTATGAACGCACATTATATTTTAGATACCTATGTAAGTGGAACTTGTTTGCCGATACTATATTTTTTTTACTCTATTTTTTAATTGTCATCATWTTTGTCTGTATTTTATTATAGTATAATGATTGGTACATAATGATTAATAATACATACAAACTGGTATTATGCGATAGAGATGGTTCGTACTTTATCATCGAGTGTCATCGATATTGCAAATTATATAATATGATATCTAGAAGGAATGTGGGGACGATACAAAATAAACTGATGTATAATAATATACACTTTTATGTACATAATATATTATATACGAACTAATATAGTACCACGACCTTATAGTCTTTGGTATCGTAAACATTTGTGTTTACTGCTTTCCCCTTCCGGCTACGAATGATTTTTTTCGTATTACTTTTTTGTTTGACTGTATATAATGAAGTTGTGCGAGCTGGACGATTCGGAAATCCGATATAAAATACGGAATTATTATTATATCATCCAATATAAATATAAATCTGCATATTATGCAGTATCGTTTTGGAACTTTATTGTTATAATATATTTATTTATGTGCTAAATATTATATTATTTCTTAACGATATCTTTCTGATTTGTCGTACAATATTTTTTAAACTCATCATATAATATTATCATAAATATATATTTTGTTTTTCGTTTTGTTTATTTAATATGATCATGGCGTATATAGTATACAATATACWCGTATGATATACTATAATAATATGTATTATATATTACAAATATATACATTGTATCGGCAGTTGTATATTATATGCGTACTTGCAGACTGTAGTATAATATAAATGATAATATATTGTGATGTCGCGCAACAATCGCAGTGCGAACAGAGCAGATGACTGTGATGCGCGGTGGATTTGGTTTTCGGAGAGCAATGCAGTTTAGTCGTGTATTTATTTTACGGTTCGGCAGTCAATTTGGATTCTGCCAAATCCGTAAACGTTGTTGTGGAGCAGKGAGAATGAGGAACATGGGGGGAATGTATACAGTGCCCTCGTAAAATCTGTCGTTTTATCGTGTAGCGCGAATAGAACCGAAACGTGATAAATATAAATTGTTATCACGCGACTGGTGCTGCAGAGAAATAAACACGCGCGCGTGCTACATAATAATAGTTTCATATAAGCCGACGGACAGACGGACAGACGGACGGTTGATGAGTGACCAGGGCGAGGGTAAGAGATGGGACTTTATACAAGGCAAAACCGACACACGCCACAGTGCAGGCGTACACGGGGATGTATCCTAAAGGGGGAGCACCCGCTAGGGGACGTATAATAGGGTATAGTCTATATAATATATTATTATTTGATATAATGGCAGAGAAATGGCTGGCTCTGAGCCGCAACTGATTACGACGACAATGGCTAAACATAATATATATATTTTATATGTTTATTGTTTACGGACACAGTACTGAAAACACCGTGCCATCGGCGTGTTATTCAGCCGCTTCGATTTTTTGGGTAGAACCATTTTTTAATATTTTTTTTTTGGTAGAAATTAATAAAACGCGCTCTTTATTGGTTTTCGAAAATGCTATCATACTATACAGTGTGTTTCMTTTTAAAGGTAACACTAAATAATTCTGTCCAGTGACATCAGATTAATATGCGGATTTCGGGAGGGGATAGGGAATACATAAATACACATTTCTTGATGATTTTTACATTTTTAGATCTATCCGTGTGCRCAAGCGCAATACAACTTGCATTTTTTTAAATAGCAACAGGTGTTTTGAATATCAAATTCGGATAGACCAAATTTTTTTAAGTCGATTWGGTCCTTTTTACCATAGCTCTAAAATCAAAATTGACTAAATGGCAACCAGTCAAAGTTTCGATTTAAATGATTTAATAATATTATATGCAAACCTACGGATACAAAAATAATAAATACAATTTCATAATAATTCATAAAATTCTAGTATGATTGGTGAAAAATTYAATAATATTAATCGAAACTTTGACTGGTTGCCATTTAGTCAATTTTGATTTTAGAGCTATGGTAAAAAGGACCAAATCGACTTAAAAAAATTCGGTCTATCCGAATTTGGTATTCAAAACACCTGTTGYCATTTAAAAAAATGTAAGTTGTATTGCGCATGCGCACACGGATAGATCTAAAAATGTAAAAATCATCAAGTAATGTGTATTTATGTATTCCCTATCCCCTCCCGAAATCTGCATATTAATCCGATGTCACTGGACAGAATTATTTAATGTTACCTTTAAAAGGAAACACACTGTATATTTATAATCATATTATAAACTCGTTGATCGGTTATTTACTTAAGGCTATATTTTAGGAACCAATTGCTACCGACTGTATATTTATAAAGGCCGTGTCATAGTCATTTCCACGGTCATTCAATTTATAATTTACGAATTTACGAATTTACGATTTAGGTATAATTATATAAGTGAATTGTTCTCATGCGGCATTATACATGGTAAAAACAAATAAAATTTACTTACAAGACGTATGTTAACATTAAAAAAAAAATTTAAGGCATTTAATCAAAGGGCTATATTATGCAATTATATTAATATTAACTATAAAAATTGTTAGTTGATAATCAATGTAGCGACAGTAGGTAGACATTTTTTTTAAACAATGCTAATCATATTTTTATTGTTGTATCGCCAGTTCGAAATATTTTATAAATATAAATATAATATAAAATATTATAATATTAAATAAACATTTTGTACTATCGGTGTAAAAAAAAGTTGGTACACCAAACGGGGGCCTATATGCTCACGGGCATACGTAAATTGCGCCCAACGAAAGGAAATAGTTGTAAAATGCGCCCGGTATTTTTCAGGTATACATTTTTGTGTAGTAAATTGCACCCGGTATTTTTCAGGTACAAATTTCTGTATAGTAAATTGCGCCCAATAGAAGTATTATTTTTATGATAGTCATTTAGYWTTACCCAGAGGACACCACGAGGAGGCAACTATCACTGTCCTCCAAAAATGTTTTTTTGTGGCTTACTTGAAATGAATAAATTWAAAAAAAAAAAATATGGCATTAATTATAGTTGTTTAAATATTTTTTGTTAGGTTAAAAATGTTAATAATAAAAAATAYAGTTATAAGTTATCTGCATATAGTAATGAGACATCATCTTCACATATTCAGCCCTAACCTAACCTAACGWYCGRCYTATCCACCAATAAATGAACAACARTATTTTTAAAATACACATAATAGGTAACGATGAATTCTGCAAGATAGTAGATATTATGGGCGCAATTTACTATATCCGTTTTAGACCCCGAAAAATCCCGGGCGCAATTTACTATAGTAATTTTACTACCTACTTAATGTGGGCACAATTTACGAGCGCCCATGCTCACGAGGAATTTAGGATATAGATTCTCAGGACTTTTAGTTTTTGAGAATGGAAAATTTTTTGATTAATTTAATTAATTAATTTTACAATGATGCGTGCTTATATGTTGTATTTATTGCTACATAATTTCATGACCTTTACCTTAACCTTTACCTGAAGATAAAATTAAGTGCATATAATTCATCATATAAGTTGTTATTTTTTTACATAATTAGGTAAGTAAATGAATGGACCATATATTAATATATTATTTAAACAAAGTAAAAATAAACGTAGGTAAGAAAACAATTTTTTTATAAACGTTACAAGTTCATGTTAATTTTTTTCAATATACATAACTGATTTTAAATAATTTTAATAACAACGATTATTGTTTAGAATCTTGATAGGCAATTAAATTATTGATAAAGTTAGGATTTTTTATTTTTATTTTATTAATTAGGCACCTATTCCGAATATTAATAGGTATGCATTAATGCATTATTGTATCATGTTTTAATTGGTGTATGGTTTTACATATTTTAGAATATTAAGTGGATATTTTGAGCTTTATAGTACAAACAATTAAGAACTTYATTTAAATAACTTATATCTATTGAATCACATCAAATTTGGGAAAAGGAACTATTATTAGGTATGTATTTTAATAATTCTCTATAATAACTATGAATATATTAGTTGTTTAAATTTCGAACTGCATAATATTTATTATTAATATAATATATCATATTATTAAAATAATTAAAATTTTAAATGTTTTAAGAATCAAATTTTTGACCATAACATTTTAATACCCCCCCTCCCCCCCAAAAAAAAATAAAATAAAAAATAAATACATAAATAAATAAAATAAAATATAGGCTCCTCTGGGGCAGTTCAGTTGTCAACATTGCCTTAGTCCCAAACGTGGCCCAGTGTATAATAATATAATGCATGCATTATAATATGCATATTATGTTTATGCATAACGAATTTATAATACCTAATATTATATTGTGATGTGATTATTTCAATATCGCAGCTATATTATAACGCTACCTAGGAATTTACACGCTGAATAATGTATGTACTATAATACATAAGATATATAATGTTTCACATCCCGGAATAAAAAAAACACTTTGATGTTTTCTCTTATACTATGGTCCGTTTTGTCTTATTTGAGTTATTATGCGCGAGTTCAATATATAGAACATAGGTATTTGGTATAGCTGAATACATGCAAAAAGGTATCCATTTTTAAAAATCAATTTTATTCTTATTTTCGTTTATTAGTATTACTCAACATTTTGCTGTATTATATATAGGTAA